GCTATAGACTTAGACTGCTGGAGGACAAATGGAGCACATTTCCTCACTCTGCTGCTGTCTTTAGTCTCTCTCCTCTACAAGTTTGTTGTAATTATTTCTATCAATAATGTGTTTCCTTTGTCTCTCTTCCAGAGGAAATCACACCTGGACCAGTCCTTCTGTGTTTTTGTCTCTTTTCTGTCCCCACAAACCCAGYCAGTTGAGGCAGATGCTTGTCCTGAGCCTCGTTCTGCTGGAGGTTTCTTCCTGTTAAAAAGGGAGGTTTTCCTTTCCACTGTCACCAWTGAGCTGCTCAGGATGGGAGACTGTGAYAAAGTGATTCAACACAATCTGCTGACCTCTTTAGATTGATTTCTGTGCACAGTGCCCTGAGATGACGTTTGTTGTGACTTGGCACTATACAAATAAACTGAACTGAAYTGAAAAGCTGTGGGGGAAAGTGGCCAATGTTTAATATACTTCTGCCTTCGAACAATCCACAAGAAAAGTTAATATCAAAACATATCAGCATCTTTAAAATTTTTATATAACGCAAAAAAGAAAAAAACAAAAATAAACTAACTGGGTTCAGATAGCTGGACAAAACATTTACAAATAAACTCCTTTGTTGTCAACTCGTCTTGTAAAGGATCCAGACATGCCAGCTGACCTCAGTGCAGAGGCATGTGATGATCCACTTTGGAAACTCCTTCGTCAACAATACCCCACCACCACGACCTCCAACTCCACCCCAGAACCTCTYCTAGCTCCTACACAGAGCGAGCCATCCTAGATCGGTTTAAAATTCACATTTCCTTTAGACAACACACACCTCTGAGGTGTGAGGTCATTTGTAAACATTACCACCCATTTGTCAGTCWACAGCTGCCCCATTAGTAGCCCTCTGGTGAGTCCACAAAGTTCGGAGGACAGACGGCGGTGTGAAGTGTGGAAGGTCAGGGAGGAAGAACATTTCATTTCCTCAACACACCACACTTTGTGTTTTGAAACGCATACAGCGTTACAAAGCGTGTGGTGATAATTTTCTTCCTGTTTAGGTTTTAATAAAAYCTACAGTTGAATAACCATCTTCCGYTTTTTCTAAATAACGGAAACATTATTACTGCAGCACTTGATCTGCAGGACGTTTCATTTGGACCCTACTTACTAAAAACATGTCAGCTGTGCTATAGAGGAAGTTGAGAAAGACTTTTAAAGATTCAAATGAGTTTCGAAGAGACCATAAAACAGGAACAACRAAAGTATAGAGCCTGTAACTAATGTGTGTAATCCACCGGAAGAGCTCTATAACAGGGTTGTGTCTTCGGAGGGCAGTAAAATAATTTGCATTGTAATAATCTCTTTAGTGAAGAGTGCCTAAACACGACGTGAAATATGAGGGATGTAAAGGTTTAGAAATTAAAATGACAAAAGCTGCTTTAAGCAGTTTAACATCAAACTTTGGTCAGTTTTACAAATAYATTTGAGAGCAAGGTCTTATTATTGAGGGTTGGTAAATAAGTTCATCTTTCCTACACAGGAGTCATTGTAGTCTCACCTGAGGCTGTAAGTTATTAACTAACCTACAGGTAATTAGGCAGATAAAAAGGGTTTCAGTCCATGAAGCTGCTTTAACAAGCYCACTCAATGCAGCCATCCCTGCCAGCATCTATCTATGTCCACAAACCAATGCCCACTGGTCTGGAAAAGCTGCAGTGAATGGAGATGATCAGTCAGTTCCCCCTCAGAACCCCTTTAAAGCTGTACATTCTGCACACGCAGCTACATTCCTGTTTGGGATTAAGTAGGTTAGAAAAAAGCCTTATCTTTAGGGAGCTTTTTCATGCAGTCTCAGATCTGTTAAAAGTCTACTGGAGCCACGACCGTTCAGCTGATAGCCTTGATGTCCATTTGCTTTTTAATGTTGGGATACTTTTCACATATGGGCCACATGGAAAATATGAGTTCACATTCCATRTGGGTGATGAAAATTTAACTTACAGACAGAATGAGAGGTCCCGTCGTGTTGTTTACGTCTGGAGAAACAATCTCAAGCACAAAGCAATGAAGGAAATAAYCTCCGCCATCTTGGTTCACATTCATTTGTTTGAAACTTAATAATAAAATCCATCAGAGGAGTTGTGGCTTAATGGTAACAGCATCCTCTTTAATGGTTTACCTTGACCAGACAGGGGGGTCTTTTCTTTAGGCATGTGCATTCCTCCTTCCTGTTAACAACCCATCACCACCTCACACAGACAGCGCATTACCAACAGCTCAGCCCCTTAATTACCATCCATCCATCAGCTGCAGGGGAGCTGGGTCAGTCGCACGTTAACTACAACTTGTTCATCAGTCAAAACAGGTTTCAGCTGCAAGTGAGTTTCAGTCTTTGCCAATAAAGCATAGAAGATGTGGAAAAAATGCTGCCGAGTGGCCTTTAGAGGAAATTGAGACAGAATTTGCATGAGGGCGGCACACGTCTCCTTCAGCCAAAAGCCTCCTCTGGCCAAAGCCAAACCAAAGAGACAGGCGCAGAGGGGGAAAAAAAGCAACCATTGAGGCACTGGTATTCTACAGCTAGAGTGGAAGACCAGAGCCAAATGTGTTCAGTRGACGAGAGGAGGGGGAGATAGTGGGTTGAAGGACAGAGCGGGCAAACGGATACAAAGACGTCCAGTGTCAATGCGGTGCAACTAAAGATTAAATATGTTAAAATAATATGTAATCTGAGTGACCTCCAGAATACAAGGTCAACTCTGCWGGTTACATAAACCTGTCTGGTTGTCAGGGTCTCAGACACATTCGAATTGGATGTTCAGGGGGTTTACAGTCGTRTGAAGGGGGCTGGCTGAGCTCCACAGCCAGACAAAGAGCCTCTCTGCCAGCCGTGAGCGGAGGAGGAGAGTTCACCGCTCTTCCAGCTTGCCTCTCAAAGCCTCTACATTTCCTCTTTTTTCATTTCAAGCATTTTTCCCCTCTTTACCTCTGCTGCAGACGGCATTTTATGTTAACATGCTGTCAAGCAGCTACAAAGAAACTAATTTATTAAAAYTGCTCATCATAAAAATATTATTTTTTAGAAACAGTTCCACAAATCTTACCTTCCCCCATCGGGCCCTGGTGGAGGAGAACAGACTGGGAGCCCTCTGGCATGGCACGAAAGCCTCTAGAGTCGACAAAACAAAGCACAAATACTCAGACGTGATCCAGACATTTCACGTCAAGACTTACAGTAAATACAGAGAAGCAATGTTTATCATTTCTGCTCTGTCGAGTGTTTGACAATGTAAACAGACTCATCTTTCTCATTTGACTGCACACGGTCAGCTCTGGGAAATTCTTCCCATTCTGCTGCTCTGTGTTGGCTCAGTACTGCTCTGTAATGCATAGTGAAGTTGGAGTGGAGGTATGTGGAGGAAACTGGGATATGAGCTGATGTTAATTGGTGCAGAAAGACCAGGAGTGAATCCATCGTGACATTAAGAGACATGGTAGGTTGTGTGAATGCTGTACGCACTATATATGTATATTTTTTTAAACTGGTGAAAATTCTCACTTAAGCTTATTATGGTTGTTCAAATCTGTTAATCCATGCCACATCGAATCATTTATTACAACTACAAGCATCTAGTGGGATTACAGGTTCGCCTCATGTGGCAATTATTTTTCTAATCCTCTCAAAGATGAGCTGCATCCCCTTGGAGCCACTGGGCTGCCACATTCTCACAGCCTTCTTACAGCAAATTAAAGCAGTGCATGAGAACTAGTCCCACTGCMATTCCTGGTGAGCCTCCAGCCTTTTAAACATCACATTCTTGGGTCAGTTAGATCTGAGGAGCAGGAATTCTTCAGGGATTAAGACGGGCATTGTTTCTGTCGGATCCGCTGGCCACTGTGCCGAGCTGACAGCCGGCCCAGCCGAGGCCAAACGGCGCGCACTGCCGAGAGGTTCACCAATTAAGATGTGAAGGAATGCAAGAAYAAAAAGTCAAGGAGGAGGATGTGGACACTGGCATCACTGCTTCACTGTAGGGCTTCTCCAGCTGTTGCCCAGACTTAAGCAAATCTATGAACTCTGCCCATTAAAACAAATAACTTTYGCTACACAACAAACGCAACAATCAAACTCTTTAAAAATAAAATGATTCATAACCCCTTCATTTTTTCCCTTAAATTCTCCAGTTCAGATGAAGCAATAGTTTTATCAAAGGGTTCACTTAAGTGCAAAAAGAACAATATCAAAAAATATAATATATATAATGTAAATGTAACAAATGGAAAAGAGAGAGAAACACCAAATTTGCACTGGTARGAGCCTGACTGCACCTTTTAAACAGAAGGAACTTTGCATCAAACTAATGGCTGCAGGTTTTGACATTTGTATAAATAAGAAAAAATATCCATCAAGCAAACATCACAACCTTGCAAATGTTTATTAAACCTATAAAAATGATGTAAACTATTGCTATCATTTGTTCTGCTCAACCTTTTTTCGTGTAAATACTTAGGTTGAAAGATTTTAATCAAGCTTGATGATCCATTTTAAAGTGGTGGTTTAAAATGTGCAGGAGATGGAATAACATACTGGATGATTTTAAATTAATCTGAGCAAATGGTGACCTAATAAAACCCACTGGTAATCCCACCTACTACAACCTCTGAGCTAATAACCTAAAGACCACACCAAAACTATGTTAATCTGTCTCAGGTCGTTGAGAGCCCAGACTGAGAAGAATGGGCTCAAACCTAAAAACACTGCAGACGTCTGGGTCTCAAAAATGRATTTTCATTAATGTCTTATCAAAGACTGTTGGTAGCTGTAGAGAAACCTTTCGAATGGACAGTAAAAACAGTTTTAAATTATCCAACCAGACAAAACGGTCTTAAAATGTCAGACAAAATTCAACAATCATAACTCAATAGGTTTCAGCTACTATTTGCGCACGCATGGCAATTTCAAACCCTTGTTTTCCTAGGGAGGGAGCAAGGCCGAATCACTAATCCTAAAGAAAACACTACATACAAGCTTACATTCATGCCAGGCTGACCACCTGTGCTTGAACTAAATGCCATTTCGCACAAATGGAGAGCATTTGGTTCCCACAGCTGATGACTGCATTACCCGCAGCGTGAACCTCCCACATGGGAATCTGCAACTTGTCCCTTTAATTGAAGACAGATGCAACAAAAGCCAATCTGATGGTTATTAAAAGGAAAAACCTGCAAAACACCATTTCTCTTAGGAGCTGATAAACTGTGTTGCATTTAATGAATTGACATTTGTTTTTAAACAAAGCGGGTTTTACCTTCAGGCAGTCGGAGCATGAATTTTCCTCTTTAAACAAACAGACGATTGGAGGGGGAAAGATGTGGGCCAAGATGGGGGAATTTATACAACACATATGTTAAAAGCATCCCTCTAACAAAATATACACATAGAGTGTTTTCATGAAGCTACGACCYTCAATTTGACATGTGACACGATCGCAGTCCTTTGGGGGTGATCCCCCCCCCAGTCGAACGCCAGTGTAGGTTAAGAAGTGAAACCAGCGATCATGTCTACAGAGGAAAACACCACTTCCCTTATTCCAGAKATATGCCACTTTCACTGTCTCTTTGGGAGGGTCTACAAAAAGCACAGACCAGTAAATAAGGATGTGACATCAGATTTAAATTAAAACAAGACCAGGGAAAGGTTAGGGTTTCCATATGTCCAGTCTGCTTATAGTTATTGGAAGAACATAAAGCCAGTGGGAAGCAGCACATCCTACATGTTTGTAGCCCAATGTTTTAAAGATATGTGGGCATGAAATAAAATATAAAAATCAGGTTGAAATGTGATTTTTATCAGGGTGTTACATTTTTCTGGAGGAACAGAAATGTTATTTTTTAACATGAAAACATCCAGCAACTGACCAACATAAAGTAAATAATGTACACAATCAATATTTAAGTGTTCGTTATCGTTTACAAATCATCCTGTAAATGTGGAAAAATAAATGTTAAGTAAATGTTATTGCAGGATTATTCTGCAATTCTTCACCTGTTAGTGAAAACTTATCTGCAGGACTGGTTTTTTTTTTACTGTTCGGCATTAACAGTTTTTCATAATGTTTTTAAAAAATGTTTTTAAAAATCAATTATTTCAGGCGTGAACTGAATACACCAGTTTATGATTTGGGAAAATCCGCAGGTAAACAACATAATGCACCCGGAATAATGAGCGTAAGAGCTATTTTACAAGTGAAGACGTTTAGTCAATCTGCATAAAAYGTACACTGATTAGGGAAATGAGAAACGCTGCCTGCAGATAAGGATGTTACTCATCACATTATGCAGGACTCTTAGTTGTGCTCTGTAAAAAGCTCTTTAATATTCACATTATGTCAAATCATTGACATGTTTGCGTTTCAAACATATTGTTTAAAGAAAACTAACTCACTCAACCGACCGCATAGATTGAATCATTTTSAAACAAACGTTTGATGTTTCAAAATATATTGAAAATAAAATAAACTAGACATGGGTTTTTACGATGTAAAAACAAGTGTGCATTGCCTTGTAGCATGGCTTTGCCTGCTGCATT